TCCTGCATTTTCTTACTTTCACTTCTAGAAAGAAAACCCTGCCTGCCTGCCACCAGCCCCTTCAGAGTAATTAGGGCCACTTCCCTTTGTGCTACTCTTCCATGCGGCTGAAAGGGCTCGCTCTCACTTTCCTCATCTGAACCTAGGAGCGAGAGTCCAGAGCCCAAAATGTGCTCTCAGTGACACCTGTGACATCTTACTCACAGCCGTGGACATGGCAGCGCTGTGCACTGTCCCAACGGACCAGCCAAAGCAATCCTTTCCTGCCGATGAAAAATCTCCGTGTTCCTTACCTCATATGTAGAGAGTTGTGCCCAGATCCTGACACTGAATCTAGGTCCATGCACTTCGACAGCAGGAGGACTGAAGAAATCCAAGCCTCCTCCACACACAAGGAGGAAGTGGCTTTGGCATGCAAACAAACTCGGGTAATCTCTTACAGGGAGCAACAACCATGTAGTAACCTTTTTTAAACCAAAGCTGTAAAAACAAAAATATTCCCCACGCCCTCATCCACCTGCCTGCCAGGGCTTGCCCTGTGGGATAGCACAGTGCTGTGAACAGCTCTCCAGGGCCCTGTGCCTGAGTAGCCTTTCCAGCCCTAGTTGTGCAGATGTGGCGGAGACAGAGAGAGGCCCACCACTGCAGCCTTTTCATCTGACTCAGCAAGGCAGAAAATTCCAGGACAATCAACATTTGGAACTGGGCTGGAAAGCGTTTGTGTGTGTGGTGGGGGTTGTTGGTGAGTGTGCGTGTGGGGGAGGGTTGGTGGTGAGTGTGTGGGGGGTGGGGGTTGCTAAAGGGGCTACAGGATGGGGAGAAATTTAGGGTTTGTGTGGTGCAGGCAGTAGATAACGAATCTCTGAATCTGGCTTAGGAAGGAACAGGGTGAAATACCTTCTTGCAGAGACTCAATTTACGGTGCAGCACCCTTGGTGCTGTGTGGCTACACTGTGTGGCACACTGTGTGGCCCCAGCACAGTGATGGCACCACTATGAGCCTAAGAAGGGATGTTGCTGATACCCTTGAATTCCATGGCCCGGTCTCTGAGCACGCATGCTCTGTGTGCCTGCTCTCAAGTGATAAGCTTCTCTGCTGTCATGTTGGTAGCATCTCACTATGACCAGGCTGTAAAATTTTATGATTCCTAAATTGAATTGTCAGAGCAAGCTGACCTTGGGAGAGATCTGTAATAGTTCACCTAGACTGATGGGTACACGGGTGTGGTGTGTGCATGCATGTGTGTAATTGCTGAACTTGGAGGGGAGAGGGCCCAGCTCTGGCACAAAGGGGCACCAAGCTAGAAAATTCCAGGGAGGGTTCGGAGACAAGTGTAATTTGCAGTTTATTAGAGTGAAGTACTCTTATTTCCTGCTGCCATTAACATGGAATAGATTTTGATGTTAAGTTGTGTCTGTCACTAGGGTTACCAGGTAGCTTCAGAAAAAATACCGGACACACTTGATGGGGGAGAGGGCTGGCTGGGAGGGGGGAAGGGGAAGCAAGGCTGGGGGGG